GCCCCAGCCCCGCCCCTAAGCCTTGCTCCTTGTGGGAGCAAGGGGTAAATCAGTTCCAGTTTTGCCCCAGCCTCCCACCTGTGCTTCTGACTGGAGCACTGGGAGGGAGGTTGACAGCATGTCACTTCTATCTTCCCCCGGCCAACCAGAGCACAGAGGAGGGAGGCTGGCAGAGCACCACTTCTACCTTTTCCCGGATGGCTTGAGCACAGAAGAGGAAGCCTGAGGCGGACCATGATGAAGGACTATGGTGGGATGCATTTGCACTATCCTTGTATACGGGCCTGTATATTCCGTTTTACAACATTAGGTAATATTGATCTCGGTCAAAGAAACAAAGGCTGTCAGAATTTTTATTATCAGACACACCAGTTTGAGCTTGAAGAAAGAATCCCTTTTCACTTGATGATTACCTATTCTGTTCATTCCCTCTGGGGTACCTGGCATTGGCCACTGTCAGAAGACAGGATACTGGGTTAGATGGGACCTTTAGTCTGACCCAGTATGGCCATTCTTGTGTATGTTCTAAACAAATAACTTTGAAAATTGTATCCCTCACAAACATTGTTGGGTCACAGAAGAGGGACGTTAAAATGTGTTTATTTTTGTAAATATGCAACCATGTGGATAGAGAGGGGCAGGCAGTTCCATGGGAGCCAGCTTGTGTGGGAAAACATCTTGAAAGCTGGCTCCCCGTGTGTACCAGTTCCCATATGTCTCCCCACAACCCTTCTCCCCCTCCCCCCTCCACTTCACACACATACTGCTGCCTCTGGGCCCAGGCTCTGATACAGAGGCCCATGTTCTCATCCCTATCACAGAATACAAGTTTGGCAATATTTTCCAACTAAAGCACTTTGCCTGTACTCCAGCTTACAAAAAAGATATACTCAGACTCCCAACTAAAATAGAAAGTTGTGTACTAACCCTTCCAGCTTGTAATGCAGCAACATCAGAAATATAATATGCCCTCTGCTATTTCTTAACAGTCACTTAAACTGGGTTCAAAAATAGGAGGTGGACTTGGGAAGGCAATCTGTAACTTTTCATGCTACTATTTCCCAGTCAAGCAAGGAAATGTGTGGTACAATCATAGAATTGTAGGGCTAGAAGGATCTTGAGAAGTCATCTAGTTCATCTAGACAAGCTCCCGGATTTTAGCTCCTAAGGAGGAGATCAGGGTGCTCTGAGAAATAGAGGACCTTGAGATGTGAGCAGAGGGAACAACCACCTCCCCTGGAAGTGGGGCTTGGACACGGATGTGGGCACTGCCGGAGGGCAGTCTCTGGAAGAGGATGCCATGACACCACTTAGAGCATAGGTTCCCAAACTGGGGGGGGGGGTGTGAAGAAATTCTAGGGGGGGTGTAAGCCTCCCACATGCTCCCCATATCAAGTTTTGCTGTCTCACTTCAGTTTTTTTTCCTCAAGTTTTGCTGCTCTCTCTTGGCGGGGGTGAGGGTTTTTTTCAAAAATC